CGAGCCTGAACGAGCCTGAACGAGCCTGAACGAGCCTGAACGAGCCTGAACGAGCCTGAACGAGCCTGAACGAGCCTGAACGAGCCTGAACGAGCCTGAACGAGCCTGAACGAGCCTGAACGAGCCTGAACGAGCCTGAACGAGCCTGAACGAGCCTGAACGAGCCTGAACGAGCCTGAACGAGCCTGAACGAGCCTGAACGAGCCTGAACGAGCCTGAACGAGCCTGAACGAGCCTGAACGAGCCTGAACGAGCCTGAACGAGCCTGAACGAGCCTGAACGAGCCTGAACGAGCCTGAACGAGCCTGAACGAGCCTGAACGAGCCTGAACGAGCCTGAACGAGCCTGAACGAGCCTGAACGAGCCTGAACGAGCCTGAACGAGCCTGAACGAGCCTGAACGAGCCTGAACGAGCCTGAACGAGCCTGAACGAGCCTGAACGAGCCTGAACGAGCCTGAACGAGCCTGAACGAGCCTGGATAAGGCAAATAGACCTATCAGACGTACCAAGAATCCTTTAACAGCTTTTACATCTATTTTACACGTATTTATATGGCACGAAGCGAGTCACTGTTTATGAATTTTTCACGCGTTTACATTTTTCTTTCTTTTTCTATTCTTTTCTTTTTTTTCTTCTTTTTTCTTCTTTTTTCTAATCTTGTTTCAATAGAAAAAGGTACGATATTTGCAAAACCTTAGGCACTCGTTGACTCGCTATGAGTTTTTAAACGTTGCCGTCCTGCGACGTTTAAGATGACGCGTTTGAGATTCGTATCCGAAGCAGGTATGTTCAAATATCGAAGATCTGTTCGCTCTTTAAAGATATATCTTTATGGAATATGTTTTTTTACTCTTTACATTTCGTAAAGTAATTCTACTCGTAGAATTGTCGCGAACAAAGGTAATAGACGCGTTATCGAAGTATGTCTTGAAGACTAACGCGCAGAGTACGCTGAAGTTATTTTCATTTTTATCGTATAAGATAAACTACGGAAAGTCGTACAAATATAAAAATACCAAGGAGCGAAACATTGAAAACCGTCGATATTTATCCACGCTTACTATCGCCGTGTGTATTACAAATTGCGAACAATGGAACGAAGAGAGGAAGAAACTATGACATACCCTTCGTACTGAAAATTTTCAAACGATGAGAGTTTCGTTTAAAAATACAGCATTGTATAGGTTACAATTAAATATATTCGGTCTGGTCGACTGTGTCAAAGTAAAACGGGAAATCGAGTCGTATCGTAGTTCATAAAGCGAGAGAAACAAATTCCTCGAAATTCGAACGCGGTAATAATTTGCCATGCTTTCATAAAGCGGTTGAAATTTTTACGCACGTTGTTTGTACTCGGAGAAGTCAGCCGTATTTCTCGCGGTAGAAGTTGAATAGGATTATTTCGCTAACTAAACCTAAACGATATTTCTTTCCCAACTTTCTCAACCGATGACAAACGTAGTCATAGTTCGGAAGTATCTCGAGGATAACGGACATTCCTAAAAACAGATAAATTCTATTCGAAATAAAAGTAAAAAATCGCAATTTCAAACGATAAATATAATTACTTGGTATAGCCGCGCAGCGGTATATAACGATATAGCGACCAAGTATAGTAGCATCGCGATAAGTTCTTAAACTTTACAGTCGGTCGTTCGAAAATTTGAGCCATTGCTATTACGCGTAATTCGCTTACAGTTAGAACTTTGCTACATCGAACCGACGAATGTTGGAGTCATTCGACGATTGGAGCTTTACACGACGAACGAGGAACGCGCGCGTAGTTGCTGGAAAATTGGGAGCTCGCGTTTCTAAGAAATGGAGATTGGTACCATTAAAGAGTCGGGCGAATAAGAATGGCTCGGATCTCTGATAAATCGTACATTCCACCTGGTTCTGTTAAACCTCGGACCGGTTCGCAACGATACGACAAAGCAAGACAACGCTCCCCTCCAATCAACCACTACCCCTTCCCCTATCGTCGTCTATCTATATATGACGTACGTATGCGTGCATGTGGATCTGTGTATCTGCGCGAGGCAGATGCGCAGAACTAGCACGTTGTTGAACGTTCGATCAAACGGATCGAACAAAAGCATTTGACGTGTATGTGCGATAAATGCGATCGATGTGTTTCTATCTATTTAACTCGAACGATAGAATGGTATAACTGTATTGATCGAGAATGACCCCCCCCCCCCCCAACAAAAAAAAAAAAAAAAAACAAAAAAGAAAAAAAAGACA